CCATCAAAGGTGTATCTGACCTCTTTATTTTTATAATCTATTTAATTAAATCAAAAATTGCTAAATTTCAAAGCTGCTTGAGTCAAACAGACTGCAGCAAATGAACAGGTAAACTAATTATCTTCCATTTTTGAGTAAAAAGAAAAGTCTTTACCTAGAGTAAAAAGTTTTCTGCGTCGAGATGGCTAAAGATTTTATGTTTATGGGAATCTACATTCTTGTCATCTATTTTATTTCATGATAAAAAAAAATCTTTCCTTGGGGTTGTAGAGATGGCTCAGAGGTTAAGAGCACTGGCTGCTCTTTCAGAGGTCTGGAGTTCAATTCCCAGCAACCACATGGTGGCTCACAAACATCTGTAATGAGATTTGTGCCCTCTTCTGGCAAGTAGGTGTACATGCAGGCAAAACTTTGTCTACATAATAAAAAAAATAAATCTTAAAAAAAAAAAAAACCTTTCCTTTAGAATAATTAACCCCATAATGTCTGCTGAAAAAACCTACCTTTAATATCTTCAATGTTTTGATATTCTCTAAAAATACATTGCATGTATTAATAAATAAACACTTTTTGGCATCTATAAAATAGGAATTAATTGTATAGCTAGTGAGATGAAAACACATTATCTGACTTTTTTAGGGTAATTACTGTAAGCATCTTTAAGAGTTTAAAGGCAAAAGTACACAGGCAATAAAAATGAAGCAAGGCCAATAAACATTTGTCCAAACTCACAGAATGTACAAGAGTAAGAGTGTAAAGTATAAATTTTAAATAATAATGATGTCATTACAGGCTAATTGACTCAGGTGAAGGGCTCTGAATGAGGGGGGCTCTTCATGTGAGTAAGCAGAGCAGACATGAGGAATCTCTGCACTTCTTGCTCACTTCTGCTGTAGTCTTAAAATAAACTCTACTAAAACAAGAAAAAAAAATCCTAGATGCAAAACTAACACCATGTCTAAGAAATTTAGGTTAAATAACTCAACAATTCTGATTTTTCTTTAATATGTAATCATTACTATTTGAGTTTTCCTACAGGCTTTGTATCTTAGAAATGAATGCTTAGAACAGTTTCTTAGGGTTTCTATTGCTGTGATAAAGCACAATGGCCCAAAGCAATTTGGGGAGGAAAAGGGTCTATTGCAGATTACAGGTCCTGATCACAGTCCTTCATGAGGGAAGTCAGGGCAGGAATTTGGGCAGGAACTTGGAGGTAGGAACCTGGAGACAGGAACCTGAGCAGAGAGACCATGAACAGACCATGGAAGAGAGCTGCTCCCCCAGGCTGGCCGGCTTGCTCTCTCCCTCCTTTCTTCTCCTCCTCCCCCTCCTCCTTCCTTCTTTCCCTCTTTGAGACAGGGTCTCTCTTATCTAGCCTTGGTGGGCCTGAATTTTCTGTCAACTAGTCTGTCCTCAACCATGCCCAGCCCCAACCTGCTTTCATTTATAGCCCAGGACCAGTTTCCCAAGGCTGGCACAACCCAGAATGGGCTGGGCTCTCCCATATCAGTCACTTACTAAAAAATGTACCACAGGCTTGCCCACAGGTTAATCTGAGTTGGGACTTTTTTTCAGATAAGGTTCCCTCTGTACAAACGACTCTAGCTGTGCCAAGCTGACATAAAAACAGACAGCACAGTCTCCATTAAATCATCTTTTCAAAGTTTAGAGAGGGTTTTTTCTTTCTTTGTTTTGAGACAAGGTCTCATGTACCCCAGTTGACATCTGATTCAGTATACAGCCAAGGGTGACCTTGAATTTCTCATCCTTCTGCATCATAAATGATAGGATAACAAAAGTATGCCATTATGCTTGTTCCTTTGGTAATAGTGGTGATCCAAACCAGGGCTTCTTGCACGCTAGGCGAGAACTCTGCCAACAGAGCTACATGCCTAACCTTCAAATACAATGTTTAAGATTACCAATGCAGCAATTAGCACTCACATTTAATTAGCATGTAACACATATCTAAGGCATGCAAGTAAGTATAAATTTCATATGCTAAAATTTGTACATCACTTACCTGTTTGCTTATAAACTGCTAATTCTCTCACTGTTTCCACAAACTGCCAAAACTTTTCATTACTTTCTTCTGCCATAAATTCACTGTTAAAAAATAAAACAAAAATTAGTTTAGCTAGTATAAATTACACTGTAAAACAAAATAGTATTTTATTACAAAACCTCCAAAGCTTTTCTTTATCATTATTGACAACTTAGAAATGTGTAATTTGTTTTTCTGTCTACATGAAATACCACTAAGGTAACAAAAACAAGAACATTAAAGGTAAATAGTAAATGAAAAAATCATCTACTGTTCATCAGCAAAATTGGTACTATAAATACTATATAAAAGTCATATATAGGACCCTATTGCTGAAGATACCAAATTCTTTGATCACAAGACATGGAGAAATCAGACTGCAGGCTATTTGGGGAGAAAACTCATCAAGTCTTAACCATAGGTGGTCTCTGCACATAGACTGTGTCGTTAACACCTCTCTTCAAGTCCAGGGGACACTGTAACACAGGGCAGAGGAGCACTGCTGTGAAACTGAGTTCTGGACACAAGACCCCCGAACTCATGAGCTCACAGTAGCTGTGGCTGTCTGCGTAAAACCTGCACAACATCAAGCTGGACAACTTTCCATCGTGGATAGGAACGGGGCTCTTAGGCCCCAACCCAAACTGAGAAGCTACCGGCAGAGACTGATGGCTTCTGAGGGAGGAGAATCAGCTTTATTCAAGGGTAGGGCTCCTGGCATGCTGCCACGTGGAACATATAGATGAACAGAAATGGGTTAATTTAAGACAAAAGAGCTAGCTAGCAAGAAGCTGAAGTCATAGGCCATACAGCTTGTAATTAATATACACCTCTGAGTGATTATTTTAAAGTGGCTGTGGGACCTGGGTGAAAGAGATTCATCTCCACCCCCCAGAGAAACTTCTGGCTACATTGGCGCCCAATGTGGAGCACAAGATATGGTTCAAATTTTAAAAAGTCTTATAATAAAAAACCCTGAGCCAGATATTGGGGTGAAAGTTGAAAGATCAGAGAGGCAGAACAAGCCACAGCCACCACCTCTTACCTCACCAACTCCTCAGCCTGAATGAGCTTCCTCAGCTGAAAAGGCTTCTAAGGGACAGGGACACTTCTGCCGAAAAGCCTTAAGTTCCTGTCTCCTCATGCCTTATATACCTTTCTCTGCCCAGCCATCACTTCCTGGGATTAAAGGCGTGTGTGCGCTGGGATTAAAGGTGTGTGCCACCACTGTCTGGCCTCTATGTTTAATCTAGTGGCTTGTTCTGTCCTCTGATCTTCAGGCAAAGTTTATTAGGGTCCACAATACATCACCACAGCTAGGAGACACAGTGGATAAGAGGAAGCTATAATAATTTAGTCAATAAAAATTGTTGCCTAGCATCAAATAGCTAGAATGTAACATAGGGTGATGAGGTTTCGTTTTAGAACCACTGGATGTTGTTTTGTAAATACATAAAATAGTTACAAAACGTTATGCCCAATAGATAGAAAAAACTTGAGACAAAGTGTCCCTTTTGTAGCCCCAGGCTGGCCAAAAACTCATGAATTACGATCCTCCTACTCCGCAGGGATGGCAAAGGCTTGCCATCGTGAGCCACAAGAGGCAGCATTTCCGTTTACCGGAACATGAAAGGACAAAAATCTATCTATGTCCGCTTTCTGCACGGTAACTACACAGAATGACTAACAAATCCCCTTGGACGAGAAGGGGGGCGGGCAGTGGGAGTATCGCCGAAAAGCTGCCTCACCACCATAAAAACTTGGGAATGAGACACGACAAAAACGTTAACTAGAAAACCAGGTGCTTCAAACACGATCTGCTGACCAGAACTGTGTCGAGCGTTTGCATTTAACGCCACATTCCGCCTTCCAGATCGGCAAGACCCGCGGGGACACGAACTGAGACAGGGAAGTTTCAAAAACTCTTAAGCGCGCGCGCGCGGGGGGAAGATGGGGCGAGCGAGTGGCAGAGATGTGTAGAGTGACTGTCCAAGCAGCGAAGCAGTGATGCTCCGGGTGCCTGGGGACACCGAGGGAGCCAGAAGCCACCTGATCAGAGACGCCCAGGGATGCCCGACCTGCGGGCACCCAGTGTGAGGCGCCGGGGGCTGTGCAGACGCGCAGTCCCGGAGGACGGCAGATCTAAGGGGACGCTGGGGTGGGAGGGGACGACGCTTCCGAGGGGCGTCGGGCCAGAGCGGACCCCGGGGCGGGCGGGCGGACCCCGGGGCGGGCGGGCGGACGCGGGACTGTGCAGCACGGGCTGGAGGAGCAGCCGCCGGGGTCCCTCCGCCCGCCGCCACGCCCCGGCCTCGGCGCTCCGCTGGGCCCGGGCCCCAGGGCACCCACCTGGCCTCCAGCAGCAGCGGGGTCTCGGGCCACTTGGCAGCCAAGTGTGCGGTCACCGCCTTGGACGCGGCCGCCGACGGGGCGCCGAGGAGGGCGAGCCACAGCGCGACCGAGCGCAGGAGGAGCAGCCACCGCAGCAGCAGCGCCTTCGCGGCTCCGGCCCGCGCCATGGCGCGCCGAGGGAAGCGCGAGCCGCCACGCCACTGTGCCCGGCTCCGGGTGCGCCGCCGCCCACTTCCGGTGGGGGGAGCTGCAGGCCGTTACAGGGCCGGCCAGGGTCGTGCGCATGCGTGGCCGCAGAGGTCCAGGGGGCTCGGGGTGGGGGGCCCACGCGGGCCGACGCCGCAGCTCCGGAGCGTCCGCCGCGGGGTCTCGGGGTCCTGGGGTTGAAGGCCTGGCACACCGGGTGCGCAGCCCGTCCTCCCATACCAGCCTAAGACTAGCTGGGGCTGCCCCAAACCAGCTAGTCCAGGACCCCCCGCGCTGAGCATCCACCTTGGAAGGATGGAGGAATTGAGGGCGGTGTGGGGGGCTGAGGCCAGGCCTCCAAAGTGACTTCTAAAGCCGCAGACTCGCGTGCAATGCTGGGAGAGCTGCGGTCACCCGTGGCTGCCAGGCTTTCGCTGCTCCCCTGTCAAGTTCCCATCCGCAGGAGGCACGCTCGCTTTTGGAGTTGGGTGCAGAAGTGGGTTCCTTACTCTCAGCCGCTTGGGAGGCCCAGGTGATTCCTGTGCACTTACAAGATTGAGCGGTGCTGCCTCAAAAGATGACAGCTGGTCAGAAAAACACCGGGAAACGATAGGGGTGACATGTAAGAGAGAGGAGGGAAAAACAGCTCGGGGGGAGCACAGAGCCCGTGCTCTCCATCCGTGTGCACCTGTGTGGGTATAGGCCACCTGTTCCAGATGCCAACACACACACACACACACACACACACACACACACACACACACACACACACACAGGCGGGGGGGGGGGGCAGAAACAGAGACAGACAGACAGAGAGCACTCCGTTTCCCCTCACATGTCTAGCTTTCCTTAGAAGGCCGTGTTCTGAAAGATGCCCAGGTAAGTCTCACTTCCAAAATGGCATCTTCACTTACGGGTTTTTCTTCCTGTGACTTCTTCACCTTCAGACTCCCCAGATCTCTTCAGCTGTTGCATTTTCATCGTTGGATTTTCACTTTAGGATCTGAACACAGTGCTTGGTTTTTCCCCTACTGCAGATAGTATTTTTCTTCGAGAATTCACACCTCACTCATTGCTGGCACAATATATGTTGAGGATCAGTCAGTATTGAAAAGGCCTCTGTAGGTCCTTGGTAGTCCTGGGTAGTCAGAGAGTCAAGGCCAGTGAACGACATTTCCACCCATCGAACCTGAGAAAAGGTATATTGTGAAACTTTTACGTGTATTTGCTTTCAGCTGAAATTGTGGGATAGAAGGAAATGAAATGTTGACAGGAAGAGTCTTAAATGCCAGCACATCTCATACAGTGTCAATCTTGACTCAAAAAACCGACTTGCTATGTAAGTCACATGCAATATATCATTAAAGGACACTAATAAAACTCGTTAGCACACATTCCTGTTGAATTCAAAGTAGTGGACAGGCTACATCATTCTTTTGGAGAAAATGGAATTCACTTACTATTGACCATTTATGTAATTACACATCTTATCTCTTAGGGTATTTTCCCAGCAGTTTAAGTGATTTTAGGACATTTCCTCACATCGGTCATCTCCAGGCTTATTTCTGCAGATAAGAGGGTGACACTGGGTGACCTTCAAGTTTTCTTCTCTATGTAATTACCCTGTGCAGGCAGAAAAAAACAACAACGAAGCATTTTAAGTCGGTAAAATAGCCAAGGATTCTAAAATCAGTAAATTATAAAGTTTGATCAATAAGTTTTAAAAATCAATAACCCCTTGGTACAGGTTGGCCATGAACCGTACACACTTCAGAGACATAATTACACTTTAGCATTTTCTTTTTTTAGGAAAATGCAATTCAGTTAGTCACTTCAGGGTACTGTGAATGAAAAATTCATGATAGCAGTTTTCATTATATGTGGAAGAAGTGATTAATGAGTTCTTTATAATAAGAAACGTGTTTCATGGAATAAATCATCTTGAATTCCTCTTAAGGTGCAGAGTGGGCTACTTGCATTTAGTGATTATAATGTGCTGTGTGAGAATAAAGTTAGATAAAAGAGTCTTAATCTTCTGAGCCTAAATGAAGTCTCAAAAGTTTAAATGAAGTTTTAAAATGCCCTGTTTTGTTTTTTAGATATCCTTTGTTGTAAAGTAGACCCTATTCTCATGTTTTAATTGGAATATTTTAAATATACAAAAGCATTCTTACATTTTATTCCAGTTGGGAAGGATTCATAAACTTAAAGAATTTGTCATATCTCCTCTCTAGGCAAGATTATGTCAAAATCATAAGCAAATGAATAATGGTTTAGAGTTTTTAATTTAAGGATCAGCAAGTCCAATTTTATAACTTTCCATATTTTATTTAAAATAAGTTACAAATGTCTAACCCCAGCTTTTATTTGTTTGTTTTTGAATCCCAGGTAGTGAACCCAGAGCTTTGTGCATACTCAGCAGGTATTTTACTCCTGAGCTACCCAAGCTCTAGCTCGTCATCTTTGATGGCATGTGTGTAGGTTCACACATGTGGTTCAGTATAGTGGCTTTAAGACAGCAAGCAGTGGCTGTGAACTATAGTCATTTTTAGATTAGTCGTTTTGTGAGAACTTGGTATTAAACAACTACTTTCTATGCTTATACGTATAGCTAGTAAGGTCAAAGTATTCATTATTGGTGGCAAAATACATGTAAGATAATTGATCATTTTAACCATTTTTGATTTTTATAGTAGATAGTGTTAAGTAAATTCACACTGTTTTGCAACTGATCTCAAGGATTTCTCATCTTGCAACTTTCAGAATTCTTCTCCCAACCTCTCATTCTACTTTTTGATTCTATTAATTTGATGCGTCTAGATAATCACAAGAATAAAATCATACAATATTTTATGACTGGTTTATTTTAGCATAATTCCCTAAAGCTTTCTCCATGCTCTAGCATGTTTCAGAATTCCCTTCATTTTTAGGGCTGGCCACTATTCTGCTATCATATCATGGCATTTTGTTGATTCATCCTTCCATGGAAACTTGAGTTTCTTCCACATTTCAGTACTTGTCAATACCCTGGTATGAATTTGAGTATAGAAATGTCTCTTCAGGGTTCTGCTTTCAATTGTCTTGGATCTCCACTTGGAAGTGGAATTGCTGGATCATAGGTAATTCTACTTTTAGATTTTTGAGGAATTGCCATACTGTTTTCTTTATCGATTGTACTATTTCACATTCTCACCAAAAAGGAATGAGTGTACAAGGGTTCCAATTTTTCTGTATTCTCACCAAAAATGAGGTGATATTTCATTGTGGCTTTAATTTTAATCTCCCAAATGATCAAGTTGTTTTGAAGCATAACTTTTAGAATTAACTTCAGAGCTAATTTCTGAATTGAAGACAATACTCTCCATAATGGTGTAAGTACAAGACAGTGACCTTTGTCCCTCTTCACTCGTCATCTCTGAAGACACTACTTAGAAGACTGACTTTGGTTGACACTCATGGCCCTTCCTAAAGAATGGAGTCAGTGGAGGGTTGGTGATACAGCTCACTGTTCGAGAGCTCTTATCTAGCCAACATGAGGCCCTGAACTAAATCCCAGTAATGAAAAGGAAAATTAACTTCACAATTGACCAGATAGGTCTTCCTCATAATTATGTAAAGAATAGCTTCAGCTAGTAAGATATTCTTTCTCTTACCCGCATCACACTGGAAGCAAGTTTTTATGGCAGTTCAGAGTGATACAGTTTTTTGTTGTCCATGTTTAAGGCATGGTTTTGACCTCACCATCATAGCTGGTGGCCCATATCTCCGGGCATCATTAATATGTTCTTGGATAAAGAAGGAAGAAGGATCAAAACCAAAGATAAAACCTGGCTGACTAACCGAGCTGATCCACAGAAGGCCTGCTAACAACATCTGTTTATTGACTAGTTCCATGCTCTGTGACAACTTCTGTCCTGATAAATCCCAGGAAACAGAATTTTATAGCTGGGATATTTTCTCTCTTTCCTGGCAAGATTGGGATTCTGTGGTTAAGAAACTAGGGAGTGAGGTATAGGCTCATGGCAAAACTCATATATACCTTCTTTAAGTATCTCTTTTTGAAGAAATAGTCTGGAAAGAAGGCATGGATTGAGATTCTAGAAGACAAAACACAATTTGGAAGGCAACATCAATAAAGGCATTGTCTGCTACAAGTAAATACCTTAGAGCTTAAAATAAGTACCGTAATATGAGTTTAATTGGTTGGAGAAAGTCAATGCTAATTGCTTGAAGGTCAACTCGCAGTTAAGAGGGGCCTTTATTTCAAGTAGTAGTATCATCCCAAAGAAGAAAATATCAACATTTATTGTTGAGTTATCTTGGCTCTGTTACATTTGCAGCTGGATGTGCTAAAAATCATGTCTAAAATTAAGTTATACCAAGTATTATGAGGCAAGAAAATTCACACCAGTTATGTCATTTTTTTAAGTCTCCTGACCCAGCAGTTGATGTGAATAAGATTAAATAACATGTTCCATTTCAAAGGCTAAAATTCCATTATTCTTGGCAAGTTAAAGGAATATCAGCGAAGTTCGTTCTTCTTGTTTGTCTTCTCATCTTCTCATTTCAGCTGTAGAATGAAGGGACAGGATGTGACTAAATACAGAAGCATGGAGGCCATTTGAGCGCTGCATCAAAAGGGGAGCTTGTGTCTTGCATGCTGTCAGTTGGTGATATTAGAAGTGGTGCAGGAATGGGGAAAAGGTGAGAAGCTTTACAATGTCCGCTGAGTCCATTAACCTATTCACTTATTTTCATTGTCTCCATTCCCCTTGGAGACCCAGTGCCCAGTGTTTGTTGTTATGCTCACTTGCTTTTTACTATTTTCTCTTTCGCTGTTATTCTGCTGCCATCCATTTTTAATTCACTGTGAATGAACTTTAGACACGAAGCTAGAGCTGCAGAGCACTGTTTGAAAGACTGTGTGGTCTGCTCCAAGGCCAAGCATTCCTCCCAGTTGCAGCTGTACTGAGAACACTGGAACTTGAGCACGTCCTAAGAGACCAGGTTGTTGTTTTATGGTCTGGTTTTCTACACACTTCTCCCTATGGCCCAGGCTTGTCTTCACACCACACCTTTAACTTCAGTGGTCTGCTCCCTCCTCTAAGGCTGCCCCAGCTCAGCCTAACCTGGCCTCTTCATCTCATACCTCAGAGAATTTTCATTTCGAATCATAGGGCATCTAGAATATCTCAGATGGAGCCCTCTAAAGAGAGTAGACTTGCATAACAAGTCTAGGAACCTGCATGTCTCAGGAGCATCTGTCTCAGAGAGACCAGGCAGTGGGTGCTGTAGTTTCATCATGTGAAAAAACTCTGACCAAAAGCAACTTAGGGAAGGAAAGGTTTACTTCCACTCTCACTTCCTGGTGAGGAAACTCAGGGCATGATCTCAGACAGGAGCTTGGAGCAGAAACTGAAGGAATGAAGGAACGCTGTTTGCTGACTCTCAGACTGCACTAAGTTAGTTTTCTGACACCGTTCGGAATCACCTGCTCTGCAGTGGAGCTGCCTTCAGTGGGCTGAGCCCTCCTGTACCAATTAGCAATGGAGACAGCTTATAACCCCGTCTGTTAGTCTCTTCTCAAGTGAGTCTGTGTCGTGTCCAGTTGAGTTTTAACCAGCAGCATCTGTAAACAAATACCCCATGATAGGGTAGACAGGGTGGCGCTGTCTCAAAAGTGATTGTCTAGAGAATGAATGTCCTGAAATTTTGCTAACAAATCCAGGCATTGGGAACTGAAGTATTTTAGTGCATTTCATGATCATATTAACATATATAACAGTAATGAAGATAAAACTGCCAATGTGATCATTTTATGGAGACTTAAAAATCCATCTGTAAAAATAAAAACTGATGTAATTGCACAGATTTAGATGAACTTCTTACTGGTTTAAAATTCATAGTACTACACCACAATATTACATTCAATAAAATTATTATTATTAAATGCCTTGTGCATACCTAGGTTATGGCAGCAATGATATTTGAAAATGTATAATTATAATTTATTGTCATGTTTTGTTATCTATCATAATTTCTAGTGGTTATATTGTATACAGACATGTAGCTAGAGTTTTTCTGCCTGGCCCACAGTCAGGACAAATCTCTCTCACCCGCCAGTCCCAAGCCGCTCAAACCCGATCAAGTAAACACAGACATTTATATTGGTTACAAACTGTATGGCCGTGGCAGGCTTCTTGCTAACTGTTCTTACAGCTTAAATTAATCCATTTCTATTAATCTATACCTTGCCACGTGACTTGTGGCTTACTGGTACTTTACATCTTCCTTGTCCTGATGGCGGCTGGCAGTGTCTCCCCTCCCAGCTTTCTGTTCTCTCAATTTTTCTCTCTGTTAGTCCCGCCTATACTTCCTGCCTGGCCACTGCCAATCAGTGATTTATTCATTGTCCAATCAGCAACACATTTGACATACAGACCATCCCACAGCACAGACATTCATGAGTTTATAGTTAACTAATAGGTAGGTGCTTTCTAAATTTGTCTCCAAGTTTCCTATCAAACCTTAATGTTCATGTAGCAGAGTTTTCTGTTCATAATTTTCCCAAACTGGTAGGAACATTGGTGTGGACTTGGTATTAAATCCTGCTAAGAATTATAAGCCATATCCTTACCTAAAATTTATGTTTGAAGTCACTGTAATTTGAAATGTCAGAATCATTTCTGCCATTGATTTAGGAGCTCTCTCTTGCCTCCCCATTTCTCTGCTGTGTTGTCTGGATTTATATTGAAGCATTTGGCTTCTGCTTTATCTCTAATTCAGCCAGGCTCCGGGAGTTGCACAGTAAAACCAGCTGGCACAGAGTTGAGCCTGCATCAGCATATTGATGCTGTGATACCACAATGTTTCTCCGTCTTACTAAACTGCCTCACACAGGCATTAAACAGGTGTGGTGACAAAAGAGAGCTGACAGTTATCATCCCAGAGTGGATGAACGGTTGCCCATTTGAAGAGAAAATGTCCAGCAGTAAGGTGGTGCATTATCATAGTGACAAAACCCAAATCAATAGATCCCAACTGTCAATAGTAAGTAAGAATGATTGCGGCTTTCTGCTGGTGGTTTATGATGAAGGGTTTAGACCAGAACACTCTGGGCTCTAAACATAATTAAAACAGAACTCACTATTATGGAGATGCTTAGGAAAGACCCAAAACAGCTGCCCACTCCTGATATGAAGAATAGCTAGATAATCATTTAAAATTTAATTGACTTCTCATTGAAGAAAATATATAGAGAAAAACTCCTACCTTCTATTTATATGTTTGAATGAATTTTTCATACCCCTGATATCATGTGACCTTTTCAAGATCAATGAATGGCATATCACTACTACCCTTGTCTATGAGCACACCTCACTTTGCATATCTAACCACTAACCTGAGTTCTCACATAATAAATTTACTTTTTCTTTTTTTTGAGCCACAATTCTGTGCTATTTTTAAAGTGGTTTAAGGTGGGAGGTATATTATATTACCAACCACACCTGTAGTGGGTAGCCATTCCAGCTTTGGTCTGGAAGTTCCAACCCCCACTGAGGCTTCGGTAACTATCACGCTTACAAGGCGGGGCCAAGGGAGGGCCCTGAAGACCTGAGATTGGGACACACCACTCTCTCTGTTCCTGGACCCTGGACGGTGGAGGTTGACCCAGCAGAGCTCCAGAGAACACCGCTGGACTGCGATACGACTTCCCCAGACCCTGTGACCTACCTATCCCTTCATTTGTAAGTTGCGCCACTAATAAACTTTCCTTTTAACTACATGGAGTGGCCTTAATAATTTCACCAATACACACCTGATAGATCATTCTATGAAGAATAAACTGATATCCATAACTCAGGTAAGAAAAGGTGGGAATGGTTCAGGTGAGAGAAGGGAAGAAGTCAGCAAAGCAGAGTTAAGGCTGCAAATGAAGGAACAAACATGCAGGTCTGTGAATAAAGCACCAGGGGTTCAAGTTGACATGACTGGGGATGCAGCCCCTCACCCAGAGTCCGGAACAGGATTTAGGGGATGGGGTGAGTTCAGTGTTGGAGGTATTGAGTTTCAGAGGGGATGCTGCAAGGAGGTAGACAAAGCTCAAGGTATCAGGAAGTCAGAGTGACAAATCTTTGTTGTTGGCATCTGGGGGAAGGACACAGAAAAGATGAAGGTAAGAATGATAGTATGCAGGCCCATGGCCAGAACATGGATTAGTTTCAGATACACTGAGTCTGAGGTGTTTTTCAGGACTCCAGGATGGTATGGATAGCTGGATATGGCCCTGGGACAAAGTCGATCGTGGGTTGCTCTTTGAAGGTGAATGACATAGATATGAAGAACACCTTGGAAAGTCTGAAGTGCTCCACAGAATCCTAGCTGTTCCTTTGTTGACTAGGGTTAAATAGACCCTGAGCGTGATATCCAACTAGCCCTTGATTAATTGCTGGAAGAGAAACATCATTTGTGGTTTTGTGGAGGTTAAAGAAGACACCAGTGTTTTGTCACTGTGACAATGGCATCATGCCAGACTTGGAAGCCACTTCAGCCAGTATTAGATCAGTAAGTATTCATCTTAAATGTGGGCTGATTCCTTCCTTTGAATTTATTCTTTAAAAGTGGTAACTTTTGACCATGGTACTAGAGAAATAGCTATTCACCTCCAACAAAGAGGCCACTGACTGATCAAAGAAAATATTCTGTACAACTTCAGCTTGGTATTGATTAGAACTGAGGTGTAGACCCCAGGCAATGTAGGAGGGGAAAAGCTTGAAGGTGAATGATAGACTGGACAGAAGAAATTACTGATTGGTTTGACTCTCCATGACACAGATTCACTAGACACTGACTGGGCTGAGTGTTGAGAACACCTGATACATCATTCGAGATCTAGATGGATTAGTAGAAAGGCAAACCTATACATAATTTTGTAAAACATTAAATATGATAATGGAGACATAAGAAATGTCTAATAGGAGAAGATACTTTATATTTCCAGTGAGAAATGCTTTCTAGATAAAGATGATATTAAGAGGAGTTGAGGGGTGAGTTGTAGGGAAAACAAATTTGAAATTCAGTCATGAGTTAGGGATGAAGTCACTTTGTAAAACCTTGTAGGGAGATGTCATTTTGAAACAGAACTAAAGGATCACCCCCACAGGTTGCTTATTAATTATAAGGGGATGATTGTATTTTTATGGTAGGATGATCTATTAGACACTGCCTCGACTGAGTGATCAAATACAGCATCACACAGAACAAGACAATGTGATGTTGTTATGTGCAGTTGATTGTAAACAACTTCTGAAATGTCTTCACCCGAATGTTAACTTGAATCTCCTGTGACTCACCATCTAGTTCACATGAATTATAGAAAAAGAACAAATTAAGAAACATTATGAGAAGCACATTTTTCCTTTCTCATTTAAATACAGTAGCAGCATTTTACAAGAAAACAGGCCTGAACTTGTATAGATTAACAACTTAGGGAGAAAAAGAGTGGAGCTGCCCAAGATTAAAAGATTTCCAAGGGGCTAAAGTGATGGCCAGTGGATAAAAACATAGCACTCCGCAGAGGACCTGGATCTCCTTCCTGGCATCCATGCCAGATAGCTCACAACTGCCTGTAACTCCAGCTTAGGGTACCGGAGCCTCTTCTGCCCTCACTGGGCATCGGCACACACATGCACACACAAAAGTACTAAATAAAACTAGTCTTAAAAGATATCCAAGAATTAAAGCAATAAAATAAAGTGTGTGAACTTTGGATGGATTTTCATTTTTTTCTAATGTTATAAGGAACATTTGGAGGTAAACTAGGTGAAAATTTGAATATGAACTGGATATTTGATTGTAGAATTGATTGCAGTAAGATGTTATAAACAACATTTTTAGGAGATTTTATAAAGTTACACTTTTAAATGATTCAATAAAAAGCATGCCTTTATCAGCATGTTAAAATTGTTGAAATCCCAAAGTCTGCTCACTAGGTGGGGATCCACACCTGGTACTGTAAGCCTAGCTGCTGACTGCTTGTGGCTGGAGAGATAACAGACTGTAGATGACAACCTACTGCAGTCATTTTCCTAAACCCATGAAATTCCTAACTATTCTAGTTACATATAAGTACAGAGGTGTGGCCATCACCCCTCACCAAAGAAAATTCTTTCTGTAGCAGATGAAGCTACTTTAGAGATTGACAACTGGCGAAAATGCAGAAAATCTGTGAGTGTGGGGATCCTCGGCCCCAGCTGGCACATCTACACTGCAATCCCTAGAGTGAAGCTCACTGGGCATCACGGACTAGGATGCAGAAAGAATGTTGAGAAGCAGAGAACCAGGATACCTGCTGCTAGTTAACGTCTTCAAGGATGCTGTGACCTTGAAATGTCAATGTGGTTGACTAAACAAGACCTACACAAAGACAACACCCATTGACATGCCAGTGTGAGTGGAGGAAATTTCAAACTACCATTCCTAAAGAGCTACATACAATGTCTGATAGAGGGAGAACCAGTTCTCTGTGATAAGCTCCCTGATCATCCAATCCCAAGTGGCCAAGCATAAACACACGTACATAAAAGAAACACTAAACAAACTCAGTAGGTTTATTAATATATGTGTACATCTGGAGTCATGAGGGACACGGGAGGAGTTGGAGAGGAAGAAGGAGGGATGCAAATAATATATTTTCATGTATGAGTTTCTCAAAAATTAAAAGTTGTTGAAATTAAATGTCTCAGGAATTTACTATTTTTCATGATTAAAACATTTCAAAATAAAAACTTAAAATTATAAGCTTGGTGGGAGCTTAGGTAATATATAATCTTAAAACAACCTGGGTGTCTTTTTTTTTTTCAAAATGTTTACACATGAAACATAGCCCCTCTTCATACTAGCTTATTTCCCAGATTATATTTGCACAATTTAATTGTCCTGCACAGGCACACTCAATTCTTATAAGTGCATTACAGCATAATGACCAAATAAAAATGCAGGCCCTGGCGAAGTTCCCTTGTCTCTGCACCTAAGTCCTCCGTGTAGGGATCTTCCTCTTCTCAGGACTGAATCCCCAGGTGCTAAAACACTATGTGGTCTGTAGACAGTGCTCAGAGATGTTGTGAATGGATGGGTTCATATGAAAGGAACAACAAGAGCCCTTACCTTGGCAAGGATTTGCCTTCATTTATATCAATCAAATGACATCACTCTCAGCATATCTGGCCCAGTGGTGCATCAGCTTTCTATATAGGTGGGCCAGAGGGACAAGGATGGTTGGGAGAACTGGAAAACTGTAGTCTCTCTCTCTCTCTCTCTCTCTCTCTCTCTCTCTCTCTCTCTCTCTCCTCTCCTCTCCTCTCCTCTCCTCTCCTCTCCTCTCCTCTCCTCTCCTCTCCTCTCCTCTCCTCTCCTCTCCTCTCCTCTCCTCTCCTCTCCTCTCCTCTCCTCTCCTCTCCTCTCCTCTCTTATTTTTTTTACTGTCTTTGTTAGAGATGAGTTCTTGCTGTGTCTCCTTGGCTGACCTGCAACTTGTTATATAGTCCAGGCTGGACTCACAGAGATCCACCTGCCTCTGCCTGCTGATATTAAAGGTGTTTCGCCACATGAAGCTTAAGATACGTTTTCACAAGAAATGTTTTACTTAGATTTTAGTTTATAGCTATCTTGTCCACACCTAGGCAAAGTGTCCCAGTTCTGGATCACTTTAGAGTCAGGCACATAGGAAGACACCTCCACTGTGTGCAGTGAGGATTCACTCACTGAACTTGTATAGAACCTTTACCAAATTCTAAGCCAGTCTATTGTATTTCAGTGACAAACCAGCCAGCCAAACAACTGTCTAACTTAAACCAAATAAAAAACATCACAAAAGTTTGCTTTTAAGGACCACAATCAAGTTATAGAGAAAGATGAACAGTAACTAAAATATCTCGGTCATTGTTTAACAAAGAATCCCACACAGCACCTTCCCTAAGAACCCACCAAAAGAGGTGTCAGGGAGCCAACAAAAAGCTGCTGGCACCAGCGGAAAGATGTCGCAATCAGTGTTCTCTTGAGAAACTGATATGGCATAAGAGAAGAGATTTATTATGATAATTTACATATAGTTATGGAGGCTGAGAAGGACCATGATCTGCTCATATGTTAGCCAGAGAACCAGGAGAATTGTTTCTGATTCAAATTTCAGGCAAAGGCTTGAAGATAGGAGCAACTGTGGTATAAATCTCAAGTCTAAAGGGCTGAGATTCAGGAGAGAACCAGTATCTAAACACAATCAAGTTTGGGTCCCCCAGTTTAGGAAAAAATTCAAATTATCCCTTGCAGGTGGGATAATTAACATTTTCTCATAGCATGTGGCAGTGTGTTTTCCTTTCTTTTTAAGGACTGGTTTTAAAATGTTGTGAGTGCCTGTGTGCATGTTATGTATGCCACATGCATGACTGGTAGCCATGCAAGCTAGAAGAGGGCATCTTACAAACCGTTATGAGCTGCCATGCGGGTGCTGGGAACTGAACTGGGGTGCTCTTGCAGAGAGCTGTTAACCAAATGCTGTTAATGCCTGGACCATTTCTCCAGCTCTGGACCCTGTGCTTTCTTCCCTTGGGCTGAGTTAAATGACAGTCTTCTCAAGGACACCGGAAATACTTCACCAGCTACCTGAGCACCCTTAACTCAGAAAAGTTGATACAAAAAATTAATCATCACCCTGATCATGGGGAGAACTAATTCAAACAAATGTGGACCACACTGTCTCGATGCTTGCTGTATGTAGCCGAAGCCAAT